CCCCGCGCCCGCCCGCCTTCCGACGGAGGTCCCCCCTCCGCGCACCGAGAGGCCTACTGCGGTCCGCGCACGAAGCCGCCTCCCTTACCAGGTCCCCTACGATCTTCACCATCGTGGCAGCCGCCGGTTTCTCGCTCGTCGCGCTGTCCGCCGCCGCCTCGATCGCTGCCGACTCCGCCTCGATCGCTGCTGCCGGCTCCGACGCTGCTGCTTCTCCGGCTGCTGCTGCTTCCGCTGCCTCCGGCTCCTCAATGGCTGCGTCGCTCTTATTAGCGCCGCCTTCCTGCATCTTCTTATGTAGTGCAGACGCCAGCCCAGGAAAGCGCTCTGCGCAGGCGCCCCGCTGCTGGGCGGAGGCGACACGCGCACGCGCACTTGTCTCCCCGACTCTCCGAGCTTGGCAAAAAGAAAAAAAAAAAAGCGGGGGGATGGAATGCAGCTTTCGGAGCGGAGGGAGGGAGGGGGATCCTCAAGGGGAGCGCGTCGGCTGCCAGAAGTGGGACTTAGCTCGCTCTTGCGCGTCTTTACTCAGCGAGCTTTACTTCCCGGGAGTTTGTGGCGTGGATCTCAGTGGACGAAGCGTGCCTGGCGAGTGGGCGTGCAGATGTCCAGCGCCCGTCCTTTCGGACGTTCGGCCATGCTGGCCGGGGCTGAGGCTAGCGCTTCAGCCATATTTGGAGCTCTACGCCACAGTGTTCATTTTTCGCAGAGATCAGGGCGGGGAAGCCCGTGGCTGGCCTGAAACGTCCAGCAGCTGCAGCTGGCCTGGTCGCTAGCGGGAGGTGCGATCCCACAGGGGGAGGGCTACGTGTGCGGGCCTGCCAGGGGTGTCGTCCCGCAGCAGTCTCGTTAGCTCAAAAGTCCGCCTTTTCACTAAAAGAATGACATTAAGGTCACAGCTCTAATAGAGTCCGCAGTGTTTCCATCCCACCTTCCAGATAGACAAGCCCCCTTTCCAATTCCCAGTCCTCCCTTTTATTTTTTTGGGAGCAAAGGAGACAATAGCGCTTCCGCAATCTTTGTTCTTAACGAGTCCTTTCGCTTTTAGAGTTTCCTAGAGCTGAACCACAAGAAGATCCAAAGTAGCTACATGTCTTGAAAAATAGGTGAGTTCTGAAGACAGACCGTTGCAAGTGTAAAAAAGTATGACAACTTTACAAGTAAGGGAGTTTAGGAATGCCAGAACAATAAGATGTATCTCCCCCCCCCCCCCCCCGCTTTCTCAAGATCGTATCATTGGAATTAGTTAAGTGTTTGCTTTCAAGCGAGTGGATATCAGCCTGCAACTTTACTTTTGGATATTCCCCTCCTCCTCAAAATCAGGTTAAGGATATAAAAAAGAATAGTTAATCCTCTCTCATTTCTTTTAAAATGCGCATTTATAAATATGGTAGGGATTCTAATCCAAATTGAGCAAGAGTACAAAGCAGTTGGTAACTATCAGGTGCATTCAAACATATGCACAGAAACCTAAAGGGTAACGGTGCCCCATTTCTTTCCAATGCAAATTCCCCCTAGCTGCTTGTACACATGTTGTTGCAAAACCGAAAGTAGCAACATGCAGTTATGATGACAGCTGGGATGAAAGACAGGGCCATTTTGGAAAACTGCTGACTCAACTGCCAAAGGAGGGTCAAAGTGAGCACACTCCATTCAAAGTCTCAGACATCAGCTTCAGAGGAAGCCCATGTGGCAAAACGAGAGCCTGGAAGATGTATCCCAAGTTTAAGAGTGTGTACCAAAAGCTGTTGTGTTCCAAAAACAATGTGAAAATAAGGGTTTGGGTCTTAAGCTCTTAAAATCTCTTCTTTTTACATCCCCCCCAGTTGTCTTAGTCTATCAAAAATCTTGAGGTCATAAAAAATTAAGATTGTGGTAGCACCTGTGCGATTGAAACCCTGCCTCAATTTACGTGCATTGCTCAATTCCCCCCTTGCCCCCCTCCCTGCCTGAGCACTTTGCTAGATAGATACTCCCAGGCGTTAAAGGGTTTCCTGTAAATGGAAGGGCAACTGAGAATCCAGGCCCAGCCTACATTTCACACACGATGCTCAGCTGTCATGTAGTTTATTCAATTTTGGCATAGCATGAGGTGTAAATTCAGACATTGCAGTTTACTAAATAAAGCATGGTTTAACAGTCAAGGTTTAGCATAAGGTATGAATTCTGTCAGTGTCATTATAATCAGCCTGATGCCCCACCTTAGAAGAGCTCTGGATTGTAATCAGTGGAAGATTTCTCAATAAAGGTAACTGATCATCTGAAACACACTTAGGAAGAACAAGCATCAATGGCCACAGTTGGCCTTGCTTCTGAATAAGTATGTACGTGCCCCAAGGCAAAGTCAGTCGTGATGAACTGGAAGGGAATCCCCTTGTGTCTTCAGATCTGTTCCAGAGAGTCCCCCAATGCCCTGGACCAGGTCTGGGACCAACTGTGTGCCTGCAAAGGGGAAGAGGAGATGGAGGCCCCACTGCACGAGTAGATTTTTGTTCACATTATGCTGGGTTCGGTCACTTGGAAAAGCTTGGCATGCTCCAAAAGGCAACCAGAAGGATGCCCATTTTCGTGCTATTTATTTCCATAAAACCAAAACTCAAAGCAAAATAATATCTTTACATACCTGGTTAGTTTTTTTTTTTTTTTACATAGATACCGATAAATGCACGTACAGCAAAATGGTGATGAGAGTTTCGAGTACTCTTGTACTCACTATGACGGGGTTCTTTTTATGTACTTGTTAGAGTAAACAATCCTATCTTACCCATTAATCACCTTTTCAAATGTCCCTTCTGCTCATTTGTATATCATATCTAGCATAAGGAAGTGTCCCAGGAAACTCAAAAGCTTGCTCGCTGTTTTATGAACTCTTTATTGGTCTGACTAAAACACTGCCCCAGTAAGGGTTTGGAAATAAAAATGTGTGAGCGTTGTAGCATTTGGTGACTTGGTTCATTTGTCTCACCAAGGTATGATTTGTTAATGGAATAAGCAAACTGCAAAGGTTGGCTTCACACATGAAATGCTACTCAGGTTCAGGACACTGTGTGAACCAGACCACTACCCTGCACTATTATTAAGATGATCTAACAAGAATCTCTCTCTAGGTTCCTTGTCAATGTAAATATGTCTCCTCATCCTGGAAGGTCACTGATGTGAGCCAGCCAGGCCCTCTCAATCCAACCTACTTCAGGGTTGTTGGATGAAGAAGTGCTGTGTCCATCCCTTGGGCTTCTGGAAGAGAGGCAGGACATAAATGTAACAAATACATAGTTTGGCTGCATATATGACTATAATTACTAGAGAATTCTATTATACCTGCCATTCAAGTTGACCATGAGCGTGTAAACTGAAGACGCGGGTAAATATTTCCTTTGAAGAATGGGGTGTAAGATCTTGAACATATTGGTGCTAATTATGGTCTCTGGTGTTTATTGATCGATTGATCTGATATCAAGGTATTATTGGACGTCAGCCATATTCATTTGAGAATCCGTATTATTAACATAATTTTGTATCCATAAGCATATTTATTTATATATACAGTACATTTCACCAAGTTCCAGTGAATTATGCAAAAGATTTTTGTGCAATAAACTCAGCCACACATTAAACATAACTATAGTTAATTGAATCAACTACAGTTGACTGAATTTACACTACAGTATGGAAATTCAATACTCAGTGATTTAGTAATGGAAAGGGATGTTTGAGAGGACACCCTACCAGAATATCCCATTCTCCCCCTGGACTGTCCAACTTCTCCAGCCCATGCCGTTCCAGGGCGTTGGTGGTACAGTAGATGGTTTTCAGAACTAAATCCTTCAAGCTAGAACCAGTTCAAGATGTCCTGGACATGAAACAGCTGTGTTGGGGGGCTGAATCATCCCTGCACCAGCCCAAACTACTTCTATATTGGAGGATTTATTTCCAGAAACCAGCAAGGCGCTCTTGAATTGCTTCAGGTTCAGAGGATTTACTTTTGGAAAGCACCAAGTTGCTTCTGGAGTGGCATGGGCTGGAGGGGGAACGGATTGCCTTGGAACAGGCGGTTCCATTCCCGAATCAGTGAATTTGCAAATACCTAGTTCACACCTTGCTCAAAGCTATAATCCCTGGTTTAGCGGCTGGGGGTCATTATGTGGTTTGTTTGGCTTGATTGTGGCTTAAGGCACAATTTTCTTCCAGGATGAAGGCACTTCTTGGCCTTTAAGGATGTGTTGGTAGCCACAATCCAAAAAGCAGTAAGAGCGGGGCCAAGAAAAAATCCAGATATTTTTTGTTTTGATATCCATTAATTTGCAATTCAAATAAAATACAGTTAATAATGTATAATGTAACTCCCCAATGACATGTCAAACAATTTCCCCTTTTTTCAAATAAAAATTACAATTGAGTAACAAATTTGGGATGCCTCTAGAATCTGCACCCAAGGTTTGGGGGGGTGCATTCACTGTGCACCTCTGCCTTCGCTTGTCAGATGAGCCGAATATCTGTCTTTACTCATCCTTTACACAGATTCTGTGCCTGCTTGGCATTTTGTAACAATGTTTCATGATGTTTAATCCATTCACTTAATGCAAGCCTGCTCCCCTGTGATAATTTCAGGAAGGGGGAACCAGTATTTGCCCATCTTCTTCCATTTTTACAAATGGAAGAAAAGCATTTTATATATTCCTCCATGTTGACTTTTTTGACCACATCCCTGGGACACCCCTGTATATTCCAGCTCTGCTGAAGCTTCCAAAAAGAGCTCTCCCTCTCTACATTTCAGCTGTTCGGCAGCAATCCACATCTTTCTGCCAAGGATAACTGCTGTTGACACCCCTCGTATGGGGTGAACAGTTGAATGCCTGAGCCCCGTGACCCAGAAGAGACTGCACACTTTTCTAGCACTTGTCCTTTTTCTCCGACAACTTCTCACTCATGCTAGGTTTTTCCTGGGAGCTGCAATCAACCATCCATGAATTCAGAGCTCCAATGGCCCCACTCATTCCCCCGCTCCTTCCCTTAAGGGAAAAATGCCCTTAACTGCCTGCGATGGATTGCCCCGATAATGAATGGCCATCGCACAAGCCTTTACTAGTGTGAATTTGAATTCAGCCTTCAGTGCAAACTATGGTCACACAGTTTGCAGAAGATGCTTAAGAAGATGTTTTTAATTAAAGTTATTTAATTAAGCCATGCTTTAAGTCTGCACAAAACATTCAACAAAACATTCAGTTACAAAAGCCTAACCAAAGTAATGCTAACCAAACTTGGGGTGGTAGCAAACACATCTGCTAAAACATCTGGTTAAGCATG